TTGCAGCTACCCTGCCAAGAAATACAACTGTATTGGAACTACGCTGCCAAGAAATACAACTGTATTGGAACTAGCTTCCACTACGGCAAGCATGCAGGCTGGATTTGGTAATAAAAGTATACATGGTTTCCAAAGAATACAAGGGGGACCACAAAGAAAGACAATTTAAAAATGATTTTTTTCTTTTCCCATAGAAGCTCTGCCAATTAAAATAAAAACTGTAGCAATATGAACATGATGAAATAATGTCTATCCAGTATGTAGTGTGTTTGTGTTTATCCTGAATGTAGTATTCTCTTCCAACAGAAGGTAGTTTCCCTGTGACTGAAGCGTCTATGTGAGACAATTCCAGCTGTCATTGTCTAGAAGCCACTGTGATAATAATGGGATTTGACTGTTATTATGCAACTTCCAAGGATGTGATATAACTCATAACACAATAGCTATATCTTACTGCAGTTTGTAATGTTGCCAAACATGCTTGTCAATCCCATTCCAAAGTTTTCACTTTCCAACTACAGCCTTAGTCTGTCATACAGACCCTGAAGCAAATATATCAAAGAAAGCCCACATAAGTCTAGAAAATGTAGCAAGTCTAGACTGCCACAGCTTCTGAAATTTAAGAAGGTCTCTGGGCTCCTTTTCATTTTATTTCATATTTTTCTACTATGAGCTTTTTTTTGTAAATATGTTCATTTCAGAGACTAGTTGTTAGTCTACTACAGCCCCATCCCAAACCCATAATTCCCCACCGGCTGCCCATCCCGACAAGCACCTGTTCGCTCACTCCAACTTACAAACATTATATCATCACTGATTCAAGGAGACACAGAGTATCTTCCTAGGTGTTGCAACCCAAACAAGGAGAAAATAGGAGATACATATAAGCAAAAGCACATATTTAATATACCGTAATCGTATATATTTTCATGGGGTGCAATTTTCTAGAAAGTTCACCAAAACCATGTTAGAGCAGTTGTTTTTTCACGCATTTCAAACACCTGAGTGATGGTATCCATTACAAAGTTTTCACAACCAATAGATATGCAATGATCAAAGCTAGCCGCCATAATTGAATTGTGTTTACTAAAACAATCAGATAGAGAGGTGGGATGATACTTGTGTCAACATGACAACACCGGTCCCATATGCGAGATTAACTGACAACAAAGTAAGGAAGAGTGTATACCAGTACTTACAATAATTAAACATAGAAATAATAAAGTAGTGTTTGTTGTTTATGAACACGTGTTGTTCACATGGTCAAATCACTGCTTGGCTGCATTAAACAAATTGCATGTTGTTCCTACTTGTGTATTTGTCTGAACTTTGTCATAAATTGACCATGAATATTTCACTTGGTGTGATTATTGACGCACAATCTTTTTGCGCTAAAAACGCAAAAATTGATCCCACGCGAAAATAACTACGATTACAGTAATAAGAATGAGACACAGTATAAAGATTAGCTGTCAGATTACAGATTAGCTGTTTCGTATTTTTATTGCTGTGTCTTTTTGATCAGACATGACCATCATTGTGAATTTGGATTGAAGAAATTAACACTATTTTGTCAATCGGAATCATGGATCTTTTAATTTGGATAGCCAGACATATTTAGCTGCATAACACCCACACATATGCTCTGGAAATACTGTCCCATCAAAATGTAGGACTTACATGATCCTCTATTTGGATTAATCTGAACATAATTGTACATTACTACATCACAATCATGTTTTAAAAAAATTGCTAATAAGATACTTTCCCAAAACAAAGGACTTATGATACCTAACACAGTGTACCTTTTTTTAGCCAAAGTGTTATCACGACCTGCTCAGGAGCCAATATATGGCCCTAAGTCCGTAGCAAATGTGACTGAAAATTCCCAAATGGGAATTAGAATTCTGGATTATAGTTTCTACTTATAACATATGCAATGTCTTGGTCAAAGTGACATACACTTGACTTCAAACAATAAAGAAGTGGTTCAATTTTACCGAAACACGTATACATTATGATACCTCTGAATTTAAGAAGAAAAAAGTTGGGGTTTTGTATAAAATAATAGTTTAGAATAAACAATTCATAATCCCAATTTTCCTGTCAATGGTCATTAGTCTTGCTTCCAGGATAAACCCATGGAGTCAGCTACACCACGACCAGTCTGTCTCACATTCCCTGAACCACATTATTGTCCCTACTGCCAATCTGCAGTGCTAAAGCCCTAAATAAAGTAAGTCTAGATTTCCTCAGGTTCAGGATCTCTGGTCTCCTTTTCAATTTAAATGGGCTTGTTTGTTACTATCAAAATTATATATATTAAGAGACTAAGCCTTAGTCTACACCACGACATACAACACCATAGACGGAAGGCCGCTATCTGCACAGAGGACAATACAGAAAGTCTGACATCTTTGAGAACATTGGCACTGCAAGCAGGCAATGCCTTACCCATCCTGACTGATACGTTGTAACAACAGAACTCCTCATCAAACTCTCATTTTTCAATCATGCAACAATACAACAGCTGAGATGTAACAACTGACAACACAGACTGTAGGTAATTCTTCTCTACAGCAGAAAACACACACTCGATTAACCCTTTATATATAGTCCACCCTCGTAAATTCTGCAACATTGGCACGTGACAGAAGGAATCAAAGCTCACTCTTTGTAATCGCCAAGCAATAAATTACCGTACAAAACATGCACAACGGTGCACAGGGAAGCTAAGGGTTCCACAAGGAGAAAACAATCAACTGGAAGGAGTACAATGTTGGGCTAACAACTGTTAGCTAATAAGAAGATTGATGATAAGGCTTGGTACTGGCCAACAATCTACCTTCTAGTAGCCGAGCACTTCACTTTTCAAAAGGGACAGTAATAGATCAACTTCGAACATGGCTTAATCCCCAGCAACAGAATACAGCAGAAAACAGGCAATTTGCAAACACTAACAGGCAAATCGATTCTCAAACCAAACATACATTTGGGTCTAACTGTTGTGTACTAGTTTATACATTTTAGACATCTTGTACGCATAAATGCTGGAACAATCTGATTTCATGGAATGACTGACTGAGTTTGGTTTTACGCCGCTTTTAGCAATATTCCAGCAACATCACGGCAGGGGAACACCAGAAATGGGCTTCACACATTGTGCCCATGTGGGGATTCGAACCAGGGTCTTCGGAGTGAGGAGCCAGTGCTTTAACCATTAGGCTACCCCACCGCCCTGATTTCATGGAAGACAAGAATAATTTGGATATCTTGTTTGACCACAACATTTTCAATGACAAGCACTTCTTTCAATACCAAATGTCAACACCTTACCAAGCTGCCATTTCTAAAGCCAAGCATTCTGCACAAAAAACATAAACCAACATTTACTAATGTTATAAGACATGGATGACATAAAACACATCTTTCAGAAGATGGCTTTCTTTCTTTAATATTGTTTATAAAAATACATATTGTCTTCACAATGCTCATATATATAATTTTATTTAAAAAGTATAGTTTAGTTCAGAAAATAAAAATGTCACCCCAGAAATATGAAAATACAAAATATTATCAGTACCGGGAAAACAAACTTAGGAATTAACGAGAATTTTGTGGTCAAAGTTCCCTGGCACATTTTAATCTTGGGTTCCCTTTATCTTTATCAGATCAGTAACAGGGCCCATCAACATCTTAAAAATGCTCTTATGCAAGGAGTAGCACATGGATTCAAGTATTTATTTAAATGTCATACACTTTGTATATCTAGATGAGAACTGGAAACTCTTCATGCAAGCCAAAGACGAAGAAAAAAGACTGACAAAATGGAGTAACTTGAATCTGACAACTGTGTCATGAAATTACATAAACAGTAAACATTTTCAAATGAAACCAAATATGTCCCTAACGACAAACTGGGCTGGACTTCCAAAAACACAAGTCTTGAGTGGAGGACTCTGTTTGGGTGAGCTGAACAAAGAAGAAAAGTGGATTTTTAGGAAGGATGGTAACAGATAAAATTCCAACCAAACTTAACTTGATCAAATTCAGGTTATCTGTGGGTTGAATGTTTCCATATTTCACAAAACTGAGTCACTTTGTTCCTGTATGTGAAACAACGATGGCAGGGAGAGTCAGTGAGAGAGAACCCGATAAGGTGGGCAAGACCGAGCTTATGTGTGGCAGAGGATCATAAGCTGTAACCAAATTCTTTACACTCTCATAAAATCCAAGCTCAATTACCCCTTGAGACAACTACAACAGATATCAGAATGGTTTAAGGAACTTTAAATGCTACGGCAATCTCAACCTGCACTGAATATTGTAGGTGTTTTATTCACAAAATAACTAGGTTATGGAGTTGGTCTGATGTGATTCACCCTGAACAAAGATTATGGTGGGTGGGGGAGCCATTATGGATTACGTTTTTTTAATAATTGTCTACTTTAGCGCCTTTACAAGCACCTTTTGGACTAAAGAGGATTGTACTTTATATCGCATTTAACAACGATCACGTGTAAGAAAATATTTATTTATATAACTCATGGCTTAAAAGTATGCGCTTTCAGGAATAAGTGGAATGTCAATTATACATTTCCTGTCACTACTACTGGATCTGAAAAGCAATGTTTCTAATATTAGGCTTTGTTGACTTATGGCCAAACGACTGATCCCTTCTTGAAAAGTAAAATGACATACATCCGATGTTTTCACTACGCTGTTGGCGTTAATAACAGGGAAACACTTACTTTACTAATTTAATAATTTGGCTTGTGATTATATTTCAGTATATACAGGTATAAAGAAATATATTACGGATCTGGTATGAGGCATCAGCAGAACATAGTGAGGGGAAACACTTGTCGATTTTCTCAATTTTTACTTGACACGGCCAGGAATCCTCCTGCTATCGTGCTCCAAGACCAGCCTAGCAGACGAAACTGGCTGCTGCCTCGGTCAGATAATATCGACTATAGTCACTACCTCCACTGTCTTACCTGTAACGGGACGCAAGGGAACTTGATCTCCATCCAAGCCCTTTTCCGTAAACGCTCTCTTTACTTCTATACAAGCCATTTCGAAGCAGTGTCCATAACTGAGTAGAAGCCATAGTGCAATGGCACGAATACACCACGAAACACTCAACGCCTGATGTCCTTCGGCGGCCATTTTTTACTTCCAAATGTGTGCCGGGGAATTGAAGGGCCGTGGAATCTTATGTTTCGACTTTGCTACCTCCTAATCAGCGAAATCGTATTGATCATGACCACATCCCACTAGAATCCGTATAAACACACGACATATTCAAGAAGATCTTGTCACAGGTTCTCCGAAATCCAAGAAACTCGTACACAATCTCCCTGTCGTACAAAGCTCCAGCTTTGTAACAATGTTTGTGTTCAGCTGTTCCTTTTTCCTCCTACGACAATAACCTATTGCAATAAAGAGATGCAATGAAAGGTACTTGGTCTATTTTACAATAGAACAGGGCCGTATATGCATCATGAATACTTGTTCATGTTTCATGTACCTACATAGGCTTCGACTGTAATTACACTAAGTGACAATGTTAGAAAATGCCACTGAAAGCACAATCAGGGAGGTAAACGCACCGGCCGAACAACCCTTGCCAAGCGGTCATGCAAAACCCCCTTTCATTGGTCGGTGGTTAAGCAAAGCGTTCAGCCATTGGATTACTTTTATAGAGGTATGCGGCCATTCACACAATCAGACCAATAGGTTCATTGTTCAAGCTGAGGCCCGCGACAAAACACATACCGTTTCCACATCCCATTCACAATCTCACTATCAGACTGGGACGGTCGATAATTTTATAATCTTATCTATTGTTTGGAGAGTGATAGTTTATCGCTAGACTGTCTAAGATCTCTAAGAACGAGGGAGAGCTATTGTGCCTCGTATCTATCTAAACCGATAACAACAACCTCAGGCTACCATATCAGGTTGATGCGCAAGTAATTTAATTACTTTCAGTTAACACTTAATATTGGTATCAGTATAGATACAATGCAGGAATCAAAGCTGATATCATGTGGGACCCATTCGTGTCTTTAGGTGACTTGTCAACCGGGATAATTTTGAAATCTCTGCATGTGCACAACAAAAATCGGACGATCCGTGTCCGTCGATATGTACTGAGTCTAAGCCCCGAGGCCTTTTTCGAAACTAGTCGTTAAGTACTAACTTTTACACACAGCAATAATGGTGATTTGAGAAAGAACGGCGAATTGAAATCCATCCCCAATCCACCCATGCGTCATATCAATATATTTCGTTATTGAATACAGCAACCTTTCTTGGAGTATAGTCACTGTTGCCCGCGTAGCCTGAAGTTACGAACGTCAGATTCTATTTCCGACTGACGATGTTTTCTCACATGTGTGAGAAGCATTTCTCACAGGGCGGAAATTACTCAGCACTGCCACGCCCCCTGCCCCGAACACGAGTCGCGAGCCGCAGCCATGACTACCCGATTCTTGCCGAGTGCTAAAAGCTTGGTTGTAAAATTTTAGGTGTGGAAAATTGTAACAGCGATTTTACATATACATGAACTATAATATCCAATATAGTAGAAGTCACTGAGTGTTATACAAGCCTTTTAAAAATTTTGAATTTTAAAAACATATTGTAAATGAACAAATGGATGGATATAGATAATACAACCTTAATCGACACAATACTACATATCTATTTTTTCAATTATAAACAACGTACACTGCTTTACTCGTGAAAAGCTAGACATACATGAACAAACATTATCCATTTATTTAGTTTTAATTCTATGTAAAGCTTTGAGAGAATTTGACGGAAACAGGGTATTGACCTCGGGTACTACAATAATCCGTCACTAAGATCTTTTATCAATTTAATGAATCTGAGTGTTAGCTAAATATACAGTTCTTATACAGCTTAAGTTAGTGAGTTAAAACTTATTGTCGCATTGTTAGTATTAACGTGACGAGAGAAAATTACGTTTACATTATACCCGTCACTCCATCGGTGACTTATTGTGTTACATCTATCTATCTATCTATCTATCTATCTATCTATCTATCTATCTATCTATCTATCTATCTATCTATCTATCTATCTATCTATCTATCTATGAAAAACATTGTTGTAATGAATATATGTATATTTTTCGAAAAATGGTCAGTTTATCTAAATATAAATGTACATGGTCAGTTAAATATATTTGAAACACAAATACAAGAAATATTTACATTGATCATAGAATGTCTCTAAAATCGGCTATAACTGAGCATGTGTGAGAGAACTTGTGCACGACTGTCACATAAGCTGTTCATTTGCCTTCAAATCAAAACTCGACGAGGGACGTTGTTTATTATAAAACACGAGACGTGTATATTTCTTACAGCGTACGTTTCTTTCCGCTGTGACGAAAATAAAGGTTCAGTTGCACTTGCATCACACCACGCCCACCTCACGATGAAATCGACAAGGATTGTATTAATCATAAGAAGAGGTTTCCTCCTAGTTCCCATTTCCTGCACAATCCCTTTTCGACAAACAAACAAACAAACAAACAAACAAACAAAACAAAATTAAATAAATAAATAAATAAATAAATAAATAAATAAATAAATAAATAAATAAATGCTTTGCTCCATTTAAATCAAGGTACATTTGGACTTAATTCAGTCAACTAATATCAGGAGACATCTCCCTTACTGACTAATAAACTTGACATCAGTGTAATGCATATCGGCAACATTAGCAATTAGTGACCATTGTTAATGGCTATCAGTGCCAACAACGAGTTCGTGTCGCCAGGTGACAGCTCGCGAATACCAGCCCGTCGGTATGGATTTGTCAATATACGGGTAAGAAATTAGCTGTGCTATTGTGGGGATGTTTAATAGCACCAATGAATAAGGCTTCATTAGGGAACAGAAGCAATGTGTCGTGCTCAGAACACGACATGTATCTTAATTAGGGACACATACTGCGTTTAATCCATATATTGTTTAATCAAATGAAAATGTGTTAATTATGTTTTATTTCATGTTTAATCAAGAGGATTAAATGAGAGTATTTCATTTATCTTCGAACAGGAATGTATGTACATGTATTTTCCAATTTAGAATTAATGAATAGAATAGAATAGACACTCCGCAATATTCCAGTTACAGCATAAATAATCGAAGACATATGTGGTGGATAGCCTAAGCGACCAGTACCAACATTCAGCCACTGTTCACAAACTTCAGTTTACTCTTTTTAGTATGTCGTCATTGAATTTGATCTTTTTACTAACACACGGTCCATGAAAATATATACGATACAGCAAAATCGCCACCTGTAAATCTTTTTATGTTGGCGTGACCTGGAATAGTATTTTTCTTTTTTTATTTGTTTTTTATATTATTGTCATTTTGGTTTTTTTTATAGATCATGCTGGATTATGTCTTCATACAAGTACATCTATTCCACTGTCATGGCCCAAGATTTGGGGGTCTACTCAATGAATCTACACGGATATCGCTGTCGTGTCTACATTAACCAGAGTAAAAAATGTGAAAGACCTGTCTAAATTCATCAACATCATCTTCAGACTAGTTGCAGCTGCATGTGAATATTGCTAACTTACTTTGTCATATTTCATTGAAAATTTCACTATATATATGTATTTACCTTATATTGCTGTCATCTTGATTGATTATATTATCATATGCGAATTTATATTGTACTTTTCTCATGTACCACCGTTGGTGGGTTCTCTTGAGAATAAACTGTCTGTCTGTCTGTCAACGGCGTCAGCTATGATGTGCCTGTCTTTGAATACACACAACCTCATCTAAACGGTCTACTATGTTATATTTAGTATATACTGAATATAACAAGCGGATGTGTGACACATTGTACAATACTGAAGGTGGGATGTTATGCGCTTATTTCATACTGAAACACTCTTTCACAATGTTCCTAAATTGTAAAAGCGGTTCTGGGGAATAAAACGTGTATTGTACCCATTTTTTTGAGTGTATATGCTAAGTTTAAACACATTCAAATTATTAGCAACAAATAAACCGTTTTGTCGACACGCATCACAAAGAAAAATGGGAGCTTTTGGCAACTGACTATATCACTAAGCACCTGAGTTCAGCTATACATCGAAAATATCTCCTTCTGCACACCCTCAAAGATTTCAGTCTCTTGCCCAACTTTATCTCCCCCTCGCGCTGTAATATCACGTGATCTCTGACGTATAACACTGGCAATACTGCGTAAAATTTGACCTCTGACATGTATACGAAATCCAGCATACTCCAGCCCCAAGATCCAGTCGAGCTAATGACAATAACACTCGCCTTCTCATAAATCATTCTACGCCCTGCTTGACAAATGGTGGCACTTGGTATTTTCAAACCCGGGACGAAATGAAGCTATATTTTCCAAAAAATATTTCGAGGCTTTGGTAACGTCCTCAAGCCGTGTGGGATTCTTTAGAAAGCCTTTCCTCAAATTATAAACTTCACATCCATCGATCATTGGGTAAAAACGACCAACACTACGAAAGGCCCCCTTCCTTCTCTATTTATCGTATTCACGCTGATGTCTGCATCATTAATGATTTTGAAAATTGCTTTAATCTGAAGGTCATACGTCTTTCTATGTATAAAAACAGTAAACAAAAGCATTGTGCGTAGAGATGTATTCACATATTGTTCATCACTATTTTGCCGATTACTGATTACTGCCTGAATATGTTCTGGCGTTATGAATATGTTATGTCATATTTGTAATATATTTAATAAATATCAAATATTTGAATAATAGATGTTTGATAATGCTTTTTGATAAACATAGAGAATTTTCTGGGTTTCATCTTTTTATTGTTTGGTACAACGTTTCAGGGCTTGTTCTGGCCTCATCATCAGGTAGAATAAAAAGAAGATGAACCCAGAAAATTCACTATGTTCATTTGAATAATAGCTGTAAGATTTATTGGGACTTGTTGTATGGTTTAGGGGAATAGTCCGGAATACGTTATACATGTAACATTTGATATCATCATCATCATCATCACACGTTTATTACTAAAAATAAGGGGCGGTGGGGTAGCCTAGTGGTTAAAGCGTTGGCTCGTCACGCCAAAGACCCGGGTTCGAATCCCCACATGGGTACAATGTGTGAAGCCCATTTCTGGTGTCCCCCGCAGTGATGTTGCTGGAATATTGCTAAAAGCGGCGTAAAACCAAACTCAGTCAGTCAGTCAGTACTAAAAATAATCCACCATCAGTGGTACATGAGTATAACAAAGGACTATGTTACATGAAAATCCTGTCGTGAAGGTATCCCATTAAAATAGAACTGTCCCAGACGACGTTTGAAGCAATGGATGTACGCTCCTACTGTCTGGAGGAGCTGTCTTTAGCCACAGTTTATAACAAATTTAACTCTCATAAATCTTTTACCCCGGCTAGCTCTCGTCATTTAAACGACTATTAAAACGTACT